TGATCGTCCTTTCGACAGTAGAATAACAAATTTACACGAAGAGGCAGACATTGCCAAAATAGATTCAAGAATTAACGAAATAAGAATAAATTTGCACAAAAATGTAATTTATCAGAACATGCTTTGATAAGCAATTTGTATATAGTAGATTAGGTGTATATAGTAGTTGTAGGTTGTAAATAGTAGTTATAAGTAGTCTCCTTTTTCAAATTTAAAACAAACCAATCCCACCAAGGTGGTCATTCTTAAAACAGGCCTGATAGGACTAGGAACTGTAATTAATAATAATTTAAATTTCAAAGGAACTAAAGTTGAAAAGACGCATCTGTGTCACTTGATAAGTTATACATGTAAACCACACAAATTTAAGAAATATTGATCATTTAAAGTAAAAAAAAAAAGTCTCGTTGATGTCATTCTTGCAACGAATTTTGGAGGTGACGGACCACCAGCAGCAGCAGAAACAGTAGCAACAGAAACAGAAGCAGCAGCAGCAGTAGCCATGGCCGAGGCTGGAAACCTCGGCCCGGTAACGACAAAATCCTTCTCAAGAGCAGTTGTTGTCGTCGTCTATGAGATCGTCGCCGGGACCGAAAACAAGAAACAGCTAATTGAACCGGAACTTGATCGTATTTTTTTGATGATTGCCTAGTGGCGATCGATTTTGCTTATTGAGCAGAATATTATGGGTTCAATCTCAAGCTCCTTCACATTGGGCCGTATGAATAAAAAGAGTTTACTTTACTTTCCCGTGCTTTTCTTACGGGAAAAGTAAAGTAAACGCTTTTATTCATACGACCTATTGTAGAGTACACAAGTTTTTTTATTCGAGTTTTAGGAAAGACGTGTTGATCAGAATCTATAATAAATACTTCTCCAGAGAAGTTTTTATCGTAGTTACAGCTAATTGAACGGTTACTTGGTCGTAATTGTTTTGTGAAATAAGGTACTCGGTGGCCTTGTGGCGACTGATTTTGCTTGCTGAGCAGAAAATCATTGGTTTAACTCCCAAGCTCCTTCACATTATAGAGTAATACTTCAAATCGGATTTTTTTTTTCATAATACGATGTAAGGCGTAAAGATATTCGGTTGGAAGGCCGGGTACGATAATTAAGTAATATTTGAGTTTAAGGAAAGACGTGTTGATTGGAAATCCATATGAAATCCTTCTTTTTCTCAAGAGCAGTTCGTCGTCGTTGGTGAGGTCACCACTGCGATAACAACAAGTTGAACGGAACCTTGATCGTAATTGTTTTGTGATATAAGGAGCTCGGTGGCCCAGTGGCGACCGATTATGCTTGCTACTTATTGAATCGTTAGGGCATAAATTCAGCATATCGTTTACCAAAACGAATCCTTCTGCTATCCCAACCCATTTATTCAACATCCGAGTGATTTCTCGTGGAAGTGCAGAAGTGTTCTCGGCTTTCATTCAAACGAGTATTTCGTCAACATATTCCTACCCATTCCTTTCTTGGCCAGCATTCGGACGTTGCTGGCACTGGTATTGTCTAGTTTTAGGTCACCAGTATTTGCACATTAAGGATGATTGCTAGTCCCAAGCAACGTCTATTGGTTCTCTGGGTAATTACAGCTGATCTGGCAATAACTAATGCTCATGCTCATGTCATTACGGTGGGTCACCGTTATATGGAAAAACGCAAACTTGACCTCATTTAACGAGAACAACCCTTTTTTGGTTCCATTTGGGGTCCCAATCAATTTTGGGGACGATTTTTTGTAACTCAATTTTCCGCATTGCGTTTGAAATTTGTATGGAAATTAGTGTGGGGATTTTTTTTCTCTTTTTTTAAACAACAAAATAACGATCAAATGTAAGCATTATTTTCAGAGGTGCCAGAATTGATTTAAAAACTTGCGTATTATACGGCGGAAGGGTGTTTGTGGGTGTTTAAAGTGTGCTTATGTGGGTGTTAGCTCAATGTGGCAAAGCACAAACTTGAGCAAATTGTGAAAAATATTTTGAAATAGGTCTTGATAGTTCCAATTCTATTCACAAAAAGAGTCATTTTTAAAATTTTGAATGTTCCTTTAGGCCACGGCTACACAAATTAGCGATGCAGCTATTGCTTCTATTGCTGATGCTGCTGCTGCTGTTTCTGCTGCTGCTGTTTCTGTTGCTGCTGTTTCTTCTGCTGTTTTTAGTCAATCACCTTCAAAATTCGCTACCAGAATGACATCAACGAGCTAAGGTACTTCATATTTATACCTGCTAACCAATCAAAAATTATCTAACCAATGAGATTCTGTTTAAATACGGACTATCACGATTCACGCTCACTCGATTCTACTTATTATTTATTCAATACTAACTCTATCTAATACACCAAGAACCTCCGGACACAGAAGATGTTGAAGTTCGCCAAGAAGTTCTTAATTTTTCAAGCAATTTGTAATTGCGGAAAGCGGAGTACACCTTCCGTTACTGCAAGCACCATGAATGGACAGGTGTATTTGGAAGAGTGTCTCCAAAAGCGGCTTCTCCCTCTTCTGAAGGCTCACGATGATCCGACGATCTTCTGGCCGGATTCGGCATCATGCCACTAAACGAAGGACGTGCTAGAGTGGTATAAGGCGAATGATGTCGATTTCGTGCTGAAAGATCTGAACCCCTCAAACACTCCGGAACTGCGCCCAATAGAAAATACTGGGCCATTATGAAGGAGCACCTTCTAAAACGACCTAAAGTGGTGAAGAATGTAGAAGAAATGAAGAAAGCATGGGTTAATATGCAAAAAAAACTGTCGATTCTGAGGTCGTGCAGAAGCCTATGGCTGGTGTTAAGGCACACATTCGCACATTCGGATATAAAAGTGAAATAAATTAAATAAATGATGCCAAAACTAACTTAAATTATTTCGTTTTACTCCCTTAAAATTTGCTAATAATCGGATAAAAACTCCAATTTTGAGAATGAATTTTGTGTGTGCGGATTTTAAACGGTACACCCTTTAATACATATTTTGTATAGAGCCTTTTTTATTCATTCATTGGCCCCCTAATCCATACGCTGGAACACATACATATCGAATGGTGAATAAAAATTATATTAATATATATTCTCATGTGTAGTTGGCTTTGAAAAAAATAATACTATTAAAAATCTTGAATCCCATCCCATCGATAACCACGCCATATATCACATCTCAAGGGGGAATGTATGCTCAACGCCAAGCTTACAAATGTTCATTACAGCTAAAATGCTATTTTTTTGGAATTATGAAACTATTATACCGTTCCGACTCAAATTTCGGACGATTCAAATTTCGGACACTGTCATTTTTAATTAAATTTTACATCCAGTTAGAAACAAAGTAATAATGTTAGATGATCGTGGAGGGCACTAGTCAAAAAAATTTAAAATTTACAAGACATGTGGATCATATTCGACCGAGATAATCAACTTTTAAAAGTGTCCGAAATTCGAGTTTAAGTGTCCGAAATTTGAATCGGCACGGTATATAATAATAAAAAATTTTATGTGTAAGATGCAAGAAGACTAAGTGAAGTTTGTGCATGAGACATAAAACCTGTACATTTTGCTTTCAGAGGATTAAAATTAGCAATTTTATCTGTAATGAGTAATCGCGATGAGTGAGCCACCAGCGATCATAAAATCGCTAATGGTAACCCTCTGAAAACGAAATTGAAAGATTTTAGGTGTCATACAAAAGCTTTACCTCTTCTTCCTGCATCTTTCAAATAAAAAGTATCATTATTATATCTCATAGCTTCATAATTCAGAATAATAGCATTTTAGCTTCAATGAGCAATTGCAAGCTTGATCAACGTTAAACAACGTCGTGTGCATTCATTTAGTGTTAGTACTAATTGTAACAATTTCACTAACTGAAGTCCTCATTCCCTTATCTGAGGAGAGAGACAAAAATTTACGACAGTAGAAAGAAAAGAGAATAAACAACTTATTGTTTATATTTATCGCACGTTTTATTTAACCATAACTACAGGTGTTGCTACTTTTTCTTCTGCTGCTGCTATAGAAGCGGCAGTTGATGATGATGATGATGATGATGATGATGATGATGATGATGATGATGATGATGATGATGATGATGATGATGACGATTGGATTATGTGATGATAAACGATAACCCATGTAATCCTTAAGATACAAACCGATGAGAATCAGCGCTAATCACCGACAGAGTGAAAGCTAGCGACCGAGCGGACAACAGATTTTATTGATAATTGTTATTCCTTTTGCTGGTCAGCTCGGTCACCTGCTTTCACTCTATCAGCCACCTAACACTGCACTTCGTACCGGTGCAAAGTAGCGAAACAAGGGGGAAGCTCACCAGTACAAACAATTAGTGTTGTGATGGAGATCGAGAGCCTGTCAACCGACTTTTAATTTTACTTCCTGCGACCCATCGTCGGACAGCCTGTGACCCACTGACTGGTGAGTCGCGGTCCACACATCGAGAAACACTGTTTCAAAACATCCTGCTTATTATTTTTCAAATAACTCGAAGCAATCAAAGGCTCGTTACAGCACACCCAGAGAAGTTCTGATTGTTTAAGCATCAACCCAATTAAACTACCTTTTCTAACGAACGTATTTACCAAAACCCAACAGTAAAGCTTATTCCAAGGTAGAATGTGGTAACACTGCTTCAAAGCAGCAGACTGTTGCCTTTGATAGAAACACAAAGACTGCTTAACGAACCCTTAATTCAGTAAATTGCACGTATGCGGCTTTGTTTCACTAGTTCATCTGGAATAATGCAAATTAGTTCTCCCAGTTTGCCACTACGCCCCCAAGTATTTTCCCCCTGCTGGCTTATCGTCTGAAATTTGAATGCACTGTTGTACATACCAAGTGTAATCGTGTGGAAGCATAAACCTATCAGTACAAGCAGTCGACATAGGGTGATAGAAGTTTAATGGAAATGAGGATATGTTTGTGCAAACTACCTACTATTATACTGGGTAACGGAACTTGGTAAAATGAGCGTACCTTCCCGAAGAAACTACCATCGCCGTTCAGCTGTAAGCTATGGCGATGCTGACAGAGGGCAGCATGTGGAATGGCAATGTTGTGTCCAACGCTCGGCCTCCGGTCCATTGGAAGAAGATGAGGTGGTGAGATACTTTTGACAGGCGTTGTGGTAGTTGTCGTCGTTATCGTGACCGTTGTTGTGGTTGTTGTGCCTAGATAAGGTTGAGTTATTATTTTCGGTCCTTCGTGTCCGTTTTGGCACACTGTCGTTGCATGCTCCTTGGCGATTAGCTGTGGCTGCTGGACAGTGGAAGGACTGTAACATGGCGTAGTTGTTACTGTTGGCGGAGTTTGAGGTATTTTGATCTGCTGCTGTTGTTGTGCTGGATGTTGTTGTTGTTGATGTTGTTGATGTTGTTGTTGTTGTTGTTGTTGTTGTTGTTGTTGTTGTTGTTGTTGTTGTTGTTGTTGTTGTTGTTGTTGTTGTTGTTGCTGTTGCTGTTGCTGTTGCTGTTGCTGTTGCTGTTGCTGTTGCTGTTGCTGTTGCTGTTGCTGTTGCTGTTGCTGTGTCATGTTAGAAGTGTCCGTCGTACAAATTGTTGGTGTGCTTTCTTTCCGATGTTTTGGATTAACACGTTCTGGCAGTGGTCCGGCTGGTACTTTACCATATTTGAACGTATCCTCCGTGGGTGTTTGCGCTTCCGATTTATCCTGACCTCCAGATCCGGTGGATCCCACCAAGGTGACACTGCTCAGGTTCGACGGTGACGACGGCCCACTCATTGCAGCTTCTATAAGTACATAATCAAGCTGTTGCAAATTCGAGCCTTAAATACCTACCAGAATGCATTTAGCTTACCGGTTAAAGTGTCGGAGCTACTCGAGCCGGCCATCGTTTTCGGTATCGCCAGATACGAATCATCTTGTGGCTGAGGATGGATTTGGTGCTGTGATTTGCTCTGCATGTGGGCAGTTTCCGATTTTGGAGAGATTTTCTTTTCCTCTTGACTATCGTGATGGTAGGCTCCGTGAACGATAACCGGACCACCCTGCTCCGGTATGTAAGATAGGGTTTCCTGTTCCGAACCTTGATGACTGGCATAGCCACGGCGCGATCCTCGGAAACGTAGTCCAAACGAGTCACCGCTCATTGAACGATCCCGATCGGCACCCTCAGAGCAGTAGCCTAAAATGAAATAAGTTTATCAATTGTTATATTGATTTGAATTGAACAAAAAAAAACGGCTGAGACTTTGCTTGCAGCACCGGTAAAGATTCAGTTATAAATATAACAAGACCATGCTGGAGGCAGCTGGGTTTCATTCCCGGTCCGGTCTAGAAATTTTTCCGGGTTGAACAATTTCTCGACTTCCTTGGGTATAGAGTATAATAATACTTGCCGCGCAATTTTACTAAACCAAAAATAGTACAGGCTGATAACTGTAGAAATGCATCTTGAAAACTAAGTTCAGAGCCGGTGTAAAGTCTCAGTAGGGGCTCCATAAAGCCAAAAAGAAGAAGAACTTGGCTGTCAATAGACACTTATGCGTAATTCTGAATTATTAGGAAATAGGATCCTGGGAAACTTTCGGCATTATTAAATTTAAAAGGTTGTGAAAAAAACTCTTAATTCAATTAACAAAGGCTTTAGATCCAATCGCCGATTTTTGTAAAAGCAACCCGAGCTTTACCTGTCATTTCTGAACGGATTTGGACCAAAAATATATTTTTTCAACTCAACATAGATTTAGTTTATGTAACTTTTCATGTCAAACGTTACTAAGGGTGCCTCATATTTTTTAGATAAAAGATGGTGTAAATATTCATACAGTGGGTGTCAGAACAATAGAACCACCCAAAACGTACCGTCACTAAAACCATTGAATCGCTTTTGTTTACCAATCAGTGTTATCAAAATTTCCAGGGCTTTTGGACATGCTAACGTCCTACAGTGTTACAAAATTTAACATAATGTCAATGACAAAGTTCTGATATTTGATTGATTATGTAGTATTGGATGGCTTTGACATAATTAGCTGTTTCTATTGGTGATATCAATAAATTTACACCAACAAATTTAGACATCACTTCAGATTGGGAAATCCTGTGCGATATAATAAAAGGAAAACATCGATGCGAGTTTTGCAATCTGAAGTGATGTCTCAGAGAAAACCATTTTTGACATTTTTATTTACTCGGTAGGCCACTATCTTGCTGTTGAGTGGAGCCGCATGCAGGGTAAGACCCAAGATGGTGGCCAATTACTTACATACAGTAGGCCACTTTAACCTGAGCCGCATTTAAGAAAAAGATTGATAGTATCCACAAATGGCAGCAATCATGGCTGATTTTAGTATATAAAGCAAATTAGCCATGACAACGGCCATATGTGGATTCTATCAACCTTGTTCCTAAGCGGAAGACAAATAATAGTTAGATAAACTGTTTTAAGAAGGAGTAGGTATGACGTTACATTGGTGCCAACCTATGGGGTGATGCATACTGATTTGAGGGTCATCCAGTGCGATTAATCAAACTATAATGATTCTTGACTCACACAATGAACTGTGCGAATATTCTGTTGTATTTCGATAAAACACTTGTTCGAAGCTTTGAAGCCTACCTTCATATCTGACTCGTATCGGAAAATTCAGGGCGTCGAAATGCTACGTCTGAAATTTGAGCTGCCTAGGGAAAATGGCTCTAATGTTAGCTTATGGATCTAAGATGGGCCCATCAATTTTATCTAGATGAACCTGTCATTGGGACGGTACAAATGGATATTATTGGTCGCTATTGAAAATTTAGTCGATTGCTGAATGTATGTATGGGCCCAAATTAGGGACATTTAGGCTGTCATTACATCCATTTCACCTATTTTTTGCTTGATTTGTTTTCCGTCGATCTTGTTTTTCGTACTGAGTACCAATGCTACTGATGCCAGGGAGGCAGCTCACATACCTGAACCCTACCGATGTAACCCATCAACTCATGGACCGGGGACCAACGGCTATACTTCCGTGATCAGAGATTTTATACCTCAGAAAATACCATCGGCGCCGTCTGGGATTGAACCCAGGCCCTCAGGCTTATCACTACACCACCGGCGCAGCTACCTACATATTTTTTGTCAAATCAACATTCTTCTTCCTGGCTTTGACACTCTTACACGAGTTTTCGCCTGCTTTCAACTTAGTATTCTTGATACACTTCCACATTTATTAATAGACAGCTTTCTATGCCAACCAATGCATGAAATTGTGTGACAAGCATATTGAATCTCTATTTACAGGGATGTCGATGAATGATTTCCTCGACCGGACTAGGAAACCGGCTTCTTATTATACCCATTATATCATTCTTTGATCGCTCTATTCATTTCATACATATAGTATACTTCATGATGATGCCATGTTAGGGGCACCAATAAATAGCAGATAAGATATCCACCCTAATAAAAATAACCATAAAAGAGAGTTCAACGGCGTGATCTGGGTATTATCCAAACCATTTGTGGGATAGTTTACCCATCCGGGATACAGTTTGTTTATGGTATTTCTTTATTAGGGCATTGTTTACCAATCAATAGTTATGAATATAATCACTGATAAAACCAACTAAACGTTAAACATTGCGTGACGCGTCAACGCAACCAAAGAACAGCAGTTTTTTGACTCACACTCTGTTTTCATAGGAACTTTCCGTCTTATAAAATGTATTTGTATAGAAATCCAGGGAATAGCGCGGTGAGTGGTGCCGACTATCCATCGCAATTTCTCAGCTATTTACCAATTGAGTTGATTTTCTGTAAGTGACAAGTTCATAGTTGACCCTAATCACATACAAAAAATCATCTCAATTGGATGGAGTACAGTCGAGAAACTGCATCGAGTGGACAGCACCACCCATCAATCATGGGATTCTCCTACTCAGATAATTTTTAACACGTTTTGCATGCTTTGTCTAAAGAAAACCTCATTTTAAATTAATCGCGGTGTAAAAGTCTTTGAAATGGGTCGCAACCATGCCATTAATCGAGCAAAGCAGGATATAAAATTAATCATTTCCAAAGCTGCTAGTTTAAGCTTTTTTCTCACAGACGGTATTGAAGTTGTTTTTTCAACAATCGTTTATTCATAGCATTCTCAATAATTTAGCACTTATCTGCAAAACGGGTAAAACCAGCGGAAGCGAAAAAATATCCACGTTTTATAGGAATAAAATGTCCATACATTCTCAGATTCGAAACTATCAAGCCCAAGATGGGTGGCCTCCTGCATGTGACTACCGGCAGTAGTGGCTTTCCACATTTAATTGAAAGCAAAATTAGCTGTAATGATGACATTTTTCTTTCGATTGCTTCAATTGATCTCATGTTGTGTGGATTAAGGGTTGACACATAAAAAATGAGAGCATAATTTTACACGTTTGAATCAAACGGAAAACTAATCCTGCTTTCAATGAAATCAACTTGATTACTGATTTGGCATTCATAATATTGAACTGATTACAGGCCTGGCGTTAATGGTTAGCTCCAGCCCAGTGTTCAGCAAACTAAGAAGTCTATACGGTATCGGCAGTAGCATAAGAAACACCCTATCGAATGACCCTTCAACCGAAGCAGCGGTAATTTGCTATATTAACACCAAACTTTTCAAAATTATTTAACCCCAAAGACTGATACAATCACCAACAACCCACTATTAACACTGATTATTACTATTACCCTGGAAAAAATTACTACTACCTAAACTTAGCCAGCAGCGGTGACAGTGCTCACCTATTGTATTTGTACCGTTATTAGAACTACTCTGTATTTAAGCACCTCATTCCGAGGCCCGCCTTCTGATCGGGGACCCCCTTCTGTGGCCCCAAATACTCAACTCTGCCATAACATCTCTGATCACGCCTTCCTTCGGAAGGGAAGTAGAGCCGTTGATCCCGGTTCATGAGTTGATGGGTCGATAGGTAGGTTCCAGATGTGGGAGCTGGCGTCGGTAGCATTGGTGCTCAGCACGGAAAACAAGATTGACGGACAAAAAATCAAGGGAAAAAAAAACGTTGTTCAAGACGGCAAATTAATTGGACATCTGTGTAAAAAGTAATAAGCCATTTACTTTTGGCCTACAACACCAGACATACCTACGGGCCTGTGTATGAGTTTAATGGTATGTGCAGCGCCCTTGGCCTGAAGTTAAAAGTTAATAACGACATGCGATCTTCTACAAACATGTTCTGCACAATTCTTCCAATCTAAGACTTGAGTTTGATCCAACTCGTAATTATTTTTCTTAATTTGTGCAGGCATATGAATAGTTTAGATTCGTCTTCCATAGCCAAATTCATTCAAATTTGGCACAGTTGTTGGTGACATATATACAGATCGTAGGAACAATTCAAACTTGACCCACCTTAACTTACGTAATAGAATAATATAAGCTGCATTTGGCCAAATAAAATAAATTGCCTGACTCAAATCCAAATATCTCAAATATATCTATAATTTACCTATGAGATATTTTGGGGAATTCATGTGTATTTCAGAAATTGATGACATTTTGCGTTCACTTAGGCATTTTTTTTTAATTCATTCGGAAAATCATTTATTTTATGAAATTTCATGTAATACCTATATATTTTTTCAGAACTAAAAAAAAAATTGCATATTTTTTTTCTTGATTTGTTTTCCGTGCTGAGCACCAATGCAGCTCCAACATCTGGACCCTACCTATCGACCCATCAACTCATGAACCGGGGACCAATGGCTTTACTTCCCTTCCGAAAAAAAAGTGCTATCAGAGATGTTATGCCTCAGAACATCCCGGCGGCGCCGACTAGGATTGAATCCAGGCCTGCTGGGGTGAGAGGTAATCGCGCTTACCACTACACCACCGGCGCCGTTTGGAAATAATAGCATTCAACGGGAAAAAACCGATTGATCAGTACCGATCGAGGGAAAATAATAAAAGTACTCATTTGAACGATTTTTCGAAGTATAATACTATAAACGTGAATTTCAGGCATATATAACTTAACTTCGTAAATTTATCGCTGCGCCATCTATTCATCCAAAACTTGAACTAAAATTATCCCCAAAATTGTAGTTCTAATTAATCCAAACAACTTCACTCAAGACGTAAACTCAATTGAAGCGTTTTTATTTCTTCCTGCTAATTCCTGGCCTCTTTTCATGAGAAGTTAATATTTTTATTCAAAAAATATTTTACATTGAAATCAGATCACATTTCAAACATGGTCGAGTTTCATTCACTTTTACACAATATTAACTTAGTTATCAAGGCTACTTCAATCACATGTCTCCAGCAAAGTTGCAAAATTACGCTGGTAAATTTATTTTAATTTTGAAATTATTTCGTAACTATTTGTTTGCAAATACCTATTACGAAAGAGTTAACTGTAATAAGGTATACCTATATTTCCCTCTTTCTCCCTCATTCTATCTCATTCTTACATTTACTCACGCTTCATCTATCACCCCAAGGATGCTGATTGCGGTACACGCTAACTCCAGACTACCCATTAAGTGAGTATCTTGTACTCATTTTTTAAACTGGTTCTAATATGTCAAAAAATGATTATTTTCGTGATATTGAAAAAATGGGTACGTTTTACCCTTTTTTGAAAACACGTTCTGGAATAAAAATGTGTAAAAAATATTAATTACTGATTCAGTGCGAAGTGAGGCCATTTTTAAAAACGCAGAAGCAAGCGCAGCGTTGAAGTATAAATCGTCAAATATATTTTTTAAACTTTTCATTGCACCTCTAGGATACAGAATCTTCCCTGGCCGAGCAATTTGCAAGATACGTTGCGCATAAGGTTGAGCAAGGTGCATCTGTAGCACCACATATCATCGCTAAAGGTGATGAGTATTTCATTAACATTCTGGGGGAACTCATAAACTGTGGAGACAACTCAGCATAAGTGCTTTCTTTTAATGCTCTTCAGTATTTAATGCGCCAGTTTCACCACAACTACAAAAAATCAAAGATTTTGTTGATATTGTTAGCTTTAAAAGTATGAATCATAGCACAAGACAATCGGTTAACCGATTGAGTGTTATGTTTCTGAAATCCTTTAAAGCTGACAATGCAGACTAAATTTTGTTTGCTGGCTACATTTTTATCATCCACTAAATAAACATGAGTTTAGCTACTTTTCTTCGAAATGGGTACTTTTTTACTCATTAATGGGTACTTGAAGGTTAGCATGTAGATAAATATGTAATCGTAAGTCCGTATGCGGGAAAATTGCTATGCCATATATCTCGAGAACGAGTGAAGATATTGCAAAATGGACAAAAATTTCATCGTTCCAGGACTCAGACCCCTTGCGCCACCTCTTAATGTCAACGAAAAAAATCTAAATTATTTACATGTTACTTTATAAGTCCCAATCAGGGGTTGAAAAGGTTGATGTTTTTACTACACTCGCTTCGTTGTCGTGCGTGACCGTCTGTTTGTATTCGTATTCTCGTGCTCTACCGTCGTCTCTGTTAAACAACACAAACGGTAGAATAACATTCGAGCAAAAATCATATCATATGACATGTGTGATTTCGTTCTAATTCCTCAATCTGATGTAAATTAATCCATTACTGATCAGAAATGTTATTACTAAAAATCCTTGCTTGCAATTGTCATAATTCACATTAGCAGAACATCAGCAGCTCTTTTTATGAGAATAACTAAAATACATACATCCGAGACGGTCTTTGGTAACAGTGTCGTATGACAGAGCCTGTCATATGACATTTTAGTTTGGTACTGTAATTTGATAGCTTGTTTTGCAAGTGTCGGAAGCAAAGGCAGTCGATTATCACAGAAAATGTGTCGACTACCGTGACCGCTTACAAGACTGGTCCCAATAACCATTTTCCACATGGGAAAACATGTCCCCGAATGATTTTGAAAAATAATCCCTACGCTAGTATTCCAGTCCCAACCAGATTTCCAAGGCAACTCTAATAAAAACTCCAAGGGCATCTTTGCATAAACTTCAAGGATAGTTTCGAGAGAATTACGAAGAGGGTCCCAAGGGAATTGTAAGGAAAATATAAAAGAACTTCTGGAGGCACTTCCATCTCTTTTTGGAAAAATGGTATGTAATTTTGAGAAAACACTAACGAATAAAAAAATCCAGAAGTTTTCAAAAGAAAATTCAATGTGAACATTTCAAAGATATTTTGTGCAGGATTCCAAATAATATTGGTGGAACAAAATTTATTTTGTGAGATTTGTGAGCTATAATTTATTTATAGACGCTGTACATAGAAAAAATAATAATAATAAATAATCAGAACAAGAGACATCTGATGAAATCTGAGACAAACAAAATCATTCGCAATCATCCTCGAAAAAAATTGGAAAATGTGGACTTTAAAACAAAAAATGTATTTCATGTCATGATTCCTCAAAATCCATAAGATCTTGTGCGATTCGTACGCTGGAACAATGATTTTTTTTATCTTCGAATATAAGAAGTGGGGCATAGTCAGTTAAAGAGGCAGGCTCGATTCCCGGTCTGCTCTAGAAAATCATTCGGGTTGAAAATTTTCTTGATTTCTCTGGGCGTAGAGTGCGATTGCGCCTACCTCACAATATACACCTGACTTTTTTCAATTTGGAAAGGAAAGTATCTTTTAAAAAATTATTGCCCAGCAACCCCCCGTCAATGGCGCTGTTCAATATAAAAACCATATCATGAGATGTGAATAAACAAATGCTGGTCCGCATGAGAAATGAACAAACAAATGCAAATCGTCTAGTACTTAGAATCTTTCCCACCACATCTGAATCTTATACTTACCGGAAACGGAACTAGCACCGGACGTTCTCCTCGGCGACATGCGTCCATCTTGGTATGGCAGTTCCAAAAAGTCTGTCTGGTGGTCACAATCGCAGGTTGGTTCCGCCGGTGGATCATAGAATACGCTCTTCAACGCATTCAGGACGGTTTCTCCATCGGTGAACACACGATAAGTGAGCAGGAACGTGTTCAAAAAGTCAATCGATAGGAACCGTAGATCAGTCAACCGTTGCAGTAATCGTTCTGGAGTTGCGTAACGAACCTGAGGTAGTTTGCACGAATTGAGCGTTCGCGAGAAACGAATATCAACGTCATCCTTGAATAATCTCGGGTCGGCACGTAGCGCTTGATGTCCTGCAAAGATGGATCCTTCATAGATTTTACCGAAAGTACCACAGTGACAACACCAAAAATAAGAAAGAAACAGAAAGAGAGAAACCAGCTTGAAGAAAATACAACACGAAGAACATCTGCTTTGTTTGGAGATAAAGTTTACCTCCAGATGAACCACCGATCCCCGGTGAAAGAAGCGAGTGCATGTGAATATTATCCAAACACTGTGATATATCACTGATCCAGGCTTCTTTGTCCTGGATGGTCGGTGCAATCAAATGTATGCTATGCCTAGCTCCAGATTTTGTTTCAACGAATATCTTGAAATCTCGATTCCCAGCATTGACAGACTCAGTCACACTCAGCGTACTGCCCCTGGTAGAGGCGGAGCACACGGAAGCATCTTCGTCCTCAGGGTGCACTTCACTTGGATCTTCGACGAGGGTTGCATCCGCCAGCGGAATTTTACCCACGTCCGGTAGTAGGTGCAATCGCCCACCGGATGTTCTATAGAGTAATAAAAACCATTCACTCAAGCACAACTGAAAGCTTTCACTAAAGCACTCACCGAGTTGCTATAATCATATGATTCGAAAAAAGAAAGCACTGCCGAACCGCATCACGTTCGCTTTTGAACGAAGCCAATCGACTGCGAATCCTGCCTCTACCTGGTGGAACTTGCACAAGACTTCCTGCAAAAGCACAGCAATGTTATCCATTGAAGTTTGTTATATCCAACCACGTGGAGCAAAAGCTTACCCTGTCTTACAAACACCTGATTCACGTCTAGCAAAATGTCACACCCCTCGACGATCATGCGCTCCACGGCTAGATTCTTTCGAAGATTTTCCGTCTCCGAAACTTCATCGTGCATTTGGCGCGAAAGGTCTTCCAATTGTTGCCGCGCATTTTGCAAGCTCTTCCGTTCCACGTGGTCATGCGGAGTGTGGGCCAGCAGTTCATGCAGAGTGATTATGTACCGAGGAATCTGGTGCATCGGATATGTGAGAAATGTTTCCAGGCTGCGGCCCTGACAGGTGGGTTTTGCTTCCAGCCTTTTCAGTACGGTTGCAAAGTTAGGATTGCTCTTGCACTCGGTTAGCACCTGAAGACTGTAATGATGGTTGCGTACATACTCCTGGTAGATGCTCAGCATGGGCAGGAGCATGTCGAACAAATCCCCTAGAAATGTAGTTAGAAATTAAAGCTAATTTTATACAACAATGATAGATGCAATGAGGTGAAGAAAGTGTCCATCAATCCAATATGACAGACCGAGGAAAACAGAGTGAGATAGTGTGACGTTGTCCCGGTTGATATCTGTCTTACCAAGCACCAACGTTGGCCAGGATTCGAGTCGCGATGTGAGGCCCTTCAGGAAGATCTGATGCAGAAACAAAACCGTTTCCCCGTTCAGGAAGATGGAGTTTACGTCTTCGTGGGAACAGGGAGGACGCTTCGAGCTGGCAGCCATTTTGAACGGGCGGAGGAAGCACGCAACGAGTACCTGTTGATTGATTGGTTGATTCAATAATTTTCATAATTTATTCAGTGGTACAGTATATTTATTTTAGCAGAAAATAATATCTGAATTGGATATTCGGAGGGCTATTCTTGATATATAGGTAGTCTTCAAATAGACTTTATTTGAAATGTCAGCTCGGCGGTTCTCAGTGTTTATTTCCTAGCGACCTTCTAATAGACATTTTGTAAATATTCCATGCAGTGTCATCCCTAATGTTTGGGCCTAAAAAGTATCCTCAATTATAATTAACGTTTTTCATAGCTTCAAAATATTCCACCCTATTTGCTTGTTAACAGTTATCGATACACGCAATGAGGGTTAATTGCATCTTTATAACCTTTGGAAATGACGCCCCTTAATTAATTGTAAAAATCAAGTGCCATGTATTGAAGGCGCAGGTGGTTGAGTGGAAAGAGTTCTCATTCCAGTAGGTCTGGATTGAATAATAAATTCTCAGTATGTTTTTTTTTCTTTATTTAGTTCGAAATTTCCTTCGGAATACTCCTTGGCTTCACTTTAAAATCCCATTTGTATTATCCGTATAACCATGTACTTGTTTTCACAATACCCTTGGCAGTCTCCAAAGAACTCATTCGAAGATCGCAGATGGCATTGAATTCATTTCAGAATTATCTTTAAATTATCAACAGAAGTCCTTAATAATTTCAGCGTCTCTTAGAAGTTATATGCAGAATGCCCTTGAAATTATGCTGATTGATATAATATCAATGAAATGAATGTCATGTTCGCTTCATTGCCTTGTCCTTTGGCGGGGGCCGTTTTCGCCAACCCCTCACTACATCACAGGATACACGTCAAAAACGGTAAGGCATCACTGATGATAGAAATAATAGTTTCAAGTTGGATCACTAGGTGGCTCCAGCGAACAAAAATAATGTTATGAAGGTTGAACACGAAAAAATCCGGACACAAAAATCTTGTTGTGATAATAAAAATGCGTTTTTTATAGTTCAATGTAACAGCTAAACCTTAGTAGGTATTATGATTATTGTAAGTCCATTGTTTCAGTCTTCCTTCTTACCATAGGCCATTGCTCGAACTTTTCTTCGTACACGGTACATCATATTTTGTACGAGCCCTATTCCCACTTGTTTGGCTGCCAAATTTCATTTCCACTTGAAATCCTTCAGGTTTAGTTGCAGTTCCACCCTTTTTCTTTAGTATGTGCTTCATAATTGACCATTATTCCTCAATTATACTTATTTTCATACTTTTTCCCAGATTCATCTCCTTGGAAACCACTGTGACGCCATTTTCGCTGTACCACTGTTTGGTGGAATTTGAGTAGGGGTAGCTTTCCAAGTCCTGCCAGAATAGGCAATTCACCTCATGCTGCTCCAGAAAAGGCAGTAGTCTATTCCGTAGGCACTCTTCCTGGTAAATTTGCTGGTTCATGGTCTTAGAAGTAACGAAACCTCCACTTTTCAGTCCACAACTGCAGGTTGCTCGCCAGACAAGGAAATTTAAGGAGAATTTCGACTTATCCTTGATTTTACATTCTTCTGGGGCATTCGTCCGGTCCACCGAGGTGTAAAATTCCTGCTCGGGAATTTGAACGAAAACTGCAGTATGTTTTGTCGTCCAGAATCACGCAATCGTGTTTTGTTAACGAATTCTTGTACACTAATAAAATTCTAAACTTATAGTTTATTTGGTTCGTACACATACTTCTTATAAGATATTCAAAACATTATTTTTATATGAGTAAACATAAACATCATAACAAACCCCTTATCTGTTATAAGATAGCCCATAACACTTATATGAGTGACATATTTTATTTATATGTGTGATACCATAAAAAATATGTTTTGCATCATTATGCATCACATAATTTTGATGTTTGAGCGCTGAGTGGTGCTAACTTCTAACTGATTGGTGCAAGGCAAACGTGAGTAGGTGCATATAAATGATTTGTTTGAAATAACATTTTTTTGCGAATTTTTCCGCAGGGAGGAGCAGGCTAGACCCTCTGATGCACCTTTCGACAGAAACGGGATGACTCAAACGGAAAACGTCTCCACGCGGAAAATCCCTCTGAAATTACCGATGTAGGGGAAATGTATGTAATGTCAGCCCAAGTGTCCCTAATTTGGGCCCTGACATCAATTCAGCAATCGACTAAATTTTCAATAGCAACCATTCGACCATCATTCGATCTTTTGTCCCCCTTCTCATCATTCGAACTTCTGGCCATTCGACATTTTGCTTCTTCGACCTTTAACCATAGAATCATTATTATTTAAGATAACACAATATTTCAAGAGCAAATTTTCATTACGTCGAAAGTAACAAAGGTAAACAAAGTCGAGCTATCAAAATGCTATCGATGCTACTTAAGTCACCCAATTTCTTTGGAGATGCCGCTTGTCTTAAGTAACAGCGCATAGAAACCCGTAAAAAGTGTGCGTTCGTCGTTTCGAATTGTTTGTTGCTAAGCTGATTTCGGTGATCCTAAAAGTATGAATGGACTGCACGTAAGGAGACGTGATTGATAATTCTCCCAAATATCCTGGTAAATACACTTTGACTTAAGTAAGATAAGGGGGCCACCAAACGACGTATAATATCTTTTGACTCAAGAAACAATTTTTGTCATGAAAGCTAGCTACACTCTAATATCTAATCTAAACTTGTCGGAACTACCTAATTAACAATTTTATCTGAAATAATCTTAAACAGCCAAAAAATTGGCATATACAGCTAATTTTTGCCTGTATAACCTAATCTACTAAAATCGTTTATCGTGTATTAACTAAATTTCTCTAAAATTCTCTGAAGTCCACTGATCATCTTTGTAATTTAGGAAATCTAACTATAACTTGCATACAACTTCTATGAATCTCTGAAATAATAAGAGAGCTCGTGAAAAGAAAAACTGCTAAACTTGAGAAGAGGTTTGCCAAAACCACAGATACTCTACCCAGAATCACATATCAGTCCCATATTAATAGGAAATCCAGGACGTAAAATTATTGACTGAATGTGAAAGCACTTCACTATTCAATTCATTGCTCTATCCAGACTGTGTGTACCCAACGGTAAAGGATGAGGCAATGTAAGAGCCTACAAAATTATTCAGTCACTCACGAACAGGTGACTCACACAGCATGCAATTGAAGCATTTTTGCATAGAAAACTGTATGCTCAATTATTCAAAACAAATAGTGGATAGCAACACTGAAGAACAAGCGAATGAGTGCTCTGCTGTCAGTGACTTGTTTACTTCCCAATCATTCAAACTCTCACGGTAAAGTGAATGTGTAAAATTCATACGAAAATCACTCATTGAACCTGACCTTTTTGCACACTGAAGAAATCAAGTAAAGATGGGACTGATACGCGATTATGGGCAGTACAGTAATGGACATAATGAATAATACACCGTGCTGCAAGCTGCTACTTTTTAGTGCGTTTTCACAAAATTTCTGTAATATTGGCTACTGGTTGATCAAGTATTTAAGGTTTATTTTTGGTATTGATCTTGGTTTCATTGGCTGAGTTCATACAGACTTAAGCAATTTTAGAAATCGCTTCTTATTCGTCTGCCTTTTTAAAACTTATTTAAGTACAATGAACCACATCAGCTATTTGTTATTCGTTCATAGTCATAATGTGCTGAGAATTTATTTCAATTCATGTACGACGAAAAAAGTTACAGCAGTTTAATTTGTTTCACCATACACAAAAAGTTATGGTTACTTACTTTTGATTCCAAGATTCGGATATCTGATTATCAAAACAGCTTTGAAAACACATGGTACTTTTTGACGGGAACAAAGAGACGGCAAAATGCATTTTTTGACGGTGAAAAAATAAATCAACTTATTGTAACTTTTTTTCGTCATGAACAGATTTTAGAAAATATTGTGTATTTGGTTTAATTATGAGAATAATGTGTTATGTTCAAAGGTTAAAAACTTCAGTTTATTCGAATAATTGTACTTCAAAAAAATATAGTTTGAGAAAAGGTAGTCAAAAAAGAAGCGTTATAATAAAATTTTACAATCTTCATACAGACTAAACCAATCTAAAAACGTGACCGATAACCCTTAATGATTGATCAACGTGCGATCAAAATTTAAGAAATTTTAATGTTCAGTTGAAAAGTTACAGCTCTTCGAACTTTCACGTATAGACCCAAAAATCACAGTGTGTAATTTAAAATGACCAGTATTGTAATCGCTATTTCAGCACTACCCACATTTAAATAGGATCTACCCAAATTCGTCAAAACTGAACCTACCGAAATATGAGTAAACTAAGTAGGGAGTGAAAAGTTGACATATGGACATCATCAACCTGAATCCAATCAATGTTGTTCATTTGTCAACTTGTCACTGCCAACTTGAAAGATCTTGAAAGTGCTTGAGATACGATTTGCAAACTACAGTTGTTGAAAAGACTTCGAGGAGGTTCAGAGAGCTTTGGATACGAGCTCCGAACGAGTACATACAATTTAATTGGTGTTCAGGGAACTGATAAGGTGGAATTTTTTAGTGGTTTTAGAGATTTTAGAAATAAGAAGGGTTTTAAATATAGAAATATGTTCTAGGAACTACAGTAGAATCGCTCTGAAATTTTCAGGGACTTTCGAAAAATGCCAACAAACATTAGCTACATGATAAAATCAGGACATCGAAGGTCATCCTGAATTCCCTTACATATTCTTTATATTTTTTATTAAGAAGACTTTCAACCCTGGGCTAGTTCCTCTCCGGAATTCCCATACTAATAATAATGCGTATGTTATCCTAAGGAATGTCTCATTTTGTATAATTATATTATAACTATAAAAAGTCTAAGTAAATTTGAGGAGGATAAGGAAGGGCTTCTGACAAGTCTATGATAGTCTACAAGGAGGGAGAAGACGTAAAACAATATCAAATTTCGGTCTACGTGGCTTATGAACGCCCTCTTTCAAAACTACGAGAACACATGGCGTATCACAAATATGTTGCGCAATTTTACAAATTCGCAATCAACGAAAGAATCCCGGCCCTAAAATATAATCACCTTTTTTTATCAATTTTGATATTTGCTATTACGCTCTCTGTGCACGTAGTCAGTAATATATTTAACATCTCAATCAAATCCTAAAAAACCACTGCTTCACAAAATTCAATTTTGCGTAATATCAAAATGCAATTTCCCACCCCAGAAAATTTACCTCCAACTGCTCCAGGTACTCCTCCTCCGCTTCGACCATACTGAAAACCAGATGGTTCCGTTTTCGCATGCTCTCGGCATGCGGTGACCTTATATACTCCTCGACAATTTGCTTCCAACGGCGCCGGCACAGCCAACCGCGAAAAAAGCTCTGCACCTTCTTAATCTTCCTCAGCTCGATGGAATCGTGCACGGAAGCGCACAGACCCGGAAGTGAAGAGTGCTCGTCGTGGCTTTCACCTGGAATGCTAAAACTGCCCCGACCCACTGGAGTGGCCGAGTAGCTGGAGCGGGTTTCTTTGCGTAGCACACATATCTGGAAGCGGAAGGGTAAACAATGAACAGATCCCGGAACAAGCGACACACTCACACAAAAAAACAACAGTCAGGAAACGCGTGGGAGGGAAGTTATGGTAGATACACCTGTCTAGCGTAAGCAAGCAACGGTGGAGCGGTGTTGTTTGATTTGTTCTTGCTCAGACAAATAAGACATGATTGTAGTTTCCGGGAAAACGACAATACATCCGTCTGCAACGAACCGTACATGAAATAGCCTTCATCTTTCAGCGCACTTTGCAAAAAAAAGTCGCAAGCAGGATTCATATTACGCGTACAATGAACTACGATGAATGCAGTTTTATTGTCGTTCAGCAGAAAACTGGAAAAACCCACTCGTTGTATACGATACATAAGCATCGGAAGTCGCTATAATGCGCATTACTCCCGACACTATGTATAACGTATAGAACGAGAGTAAAATCGCTTTTCGCTAGAGGGTTTTTCCAGTTTTCAACTGTAACGACAATATATTTGTTCATACATAACGATCGCGATGTTGACAAAAACCCATGATGAGAAAAAAAAGTGACACGAGTAACACGATCTCCATGGTGAGGGAAACTTATGCTACATATAGTGGAGAGGTATCCCGAGCAAAGTCCAGCATCAAAATGACAGCAAATTGAAAACAAGTTTTGATATCAGCATCAAACTGAAATCATAATTTGATTTCATTTTACGCAATTAACAAATTTGATACCAAATTTTGTTTTCATTTTCAAAAATATGTTGTTGCGGCTTTGTTTTCATTGCCTTAGCATAACATCAAATTGAATACATGTTTTGTTATCAAAAGGAAAAATTGATATTAAATTGAGTTTTCAGTTTGTTCTCACTGATAACAGAAATAGTTTTCAATGTGATGTCACAGGAAGAGTTTTTTGCTCATTATTATCAGCGAAATCACAACATCAAATTTAGATTTCAATTTGATCTCACACTTTGCTCGGGATGGCTGTTCGTCAGAGTTTGGAGCAGGGTTACAAACGACCAGAACCAACCATGCAGTCGGAATTTTGATTGTATACGTATGTCAAAAGCAGTAAAAACACTAGTTAGATTAAACGAAACGAGACTGATAAACAAAAAAAGGGAAAGTAGCACCAAGCTCTGAAACAATAATTGACTTCCTTTTTCCCGCTATCGCGTAGCATCCAGTCCTATACATGTACGGTCAGAATATGAGCTTACTCGTTGTACCAAGTTCCTTCGCCGTACACCCTTCGACACCCAAGTGTTCCACCGAGGCTCTACGGTCTGAGTCGAGGGAAAAACAAACAGCACTTACCTCCGATCTCAGCTTCCGTATTTCGGATGCGAGCTCTTCGCACTGTTGAGTGTACTGCCATTTGGCCGTCTTCTCGCTTTCGACGACCTGAAGCAGGTGGACGTGCTTTTGTTCAAGCTCTTCCTTCTGCAGCAGCAGTTTGTTGAAGCTGATGGAGGGGTGGAAAAACAAGAAAATTGAGAAAAATGGCAACGACCACGCAAGCACTGATTGGACACAGATATGTGGCGAGTCTTATTTTGGTTCCATGAAAAGCAGGAATTGTTTGCCTACCCATCCTAATTGAATCACAACTCGAATACCTTCAATCTGCACTCAGTTAATATCTAACATCATACCAAAACAACCAAGGAGGTTACTAGACGTAATTACCTTGCTTCTCTGATGGCAATTATCCACGCTGAACATTCCGACTCTGTGGAGGCACGCAGCTCGTACTGTCGTTGATTTTCACGTCTGTAGCAAATTGTGAAGCAGTGCTGCAATTATAATCAAACATTTTTCCAGATAATTTATCAGTATCCTGCAGAACAAAGAGCGCATTATTTTTGAAGGGCGTAAATTATTTGATCATGTTTCTTTAGGGGGCGTTCTCACTTTTGGTTTTAATCGTATTAAAAAAAACTAATTTATCCACCTTTGCTGATATCTCTTTTATTTATTTTATGGTCTATCAGTGCTCTCTTTGCTGTCGACACAGGCAGCAGAGTGTTTTTTTTTTCGGTTCGGGTCACGCGATAGGCTGTTATTCGATAGCAACTATAGTTGCGGTGCTTGCTCATTGTGTGAAGTTCGTTCGCATTTATCGTTGCCTTGTTGGAAGCTAACAACTGGAAATTTCGGTGCAAATAAAATTGACTGTTGGATTCAGCTTCGCAGCCAGCTGTAAAAGACCGTCAATGGACAAAATAGCGACCTTTATGAAAACGCTGGAAGTGGATCCCTTTCAGATGATCACTACATACAGTATAGCGGAGGAAAAATGTATGTTTATCAAGTTCAAATCAGAGGAATCCATGCTTCATTGCTTATTTCACAACCGTGAATAATAATTTATCTGTTATGCCGATGGAAAACCAGTTGAGTACGCATGCCGCCTGCGGAGGCACCGTTCAGTACGTGAGAGTTTACGACTTTCCACCAAAGGTCCCGAATAAGTAATGTTGATGCTGATGAAATACGGTTATGTGAAGCGTGTCATTTGGGAGAAATTCCCAGCTGCCTTGACCCTCGATATGCTGATAGGTGTAAGAGGAATTTACATGACGGTAAAAAAGGAGTTTCCCAACTCGCTGCATTTCTTCAATCGGAAGGGGGACGTATTCTACCAAGGGAACAAAAACATGTCTTTTTTTGTAAGATGGAGGGACATTGGATGAACTCCTGCCCCATGAGAAAGGAATGAAGGCAGCTAGTAAAACAACAACAAGAAGAGGAAGACAAACAACGGAGCTATGAAGAAACCAGTGCCAGTTCGTAGGCTGGTGTAGTGAATGGAGGTGCGACGTCAGTAGACAACGATAAAGACACAATCCAAAAAAAATCATTAAATAACCATATCATTTTGTACAGGGATTTTCATAATGCGTTCTTAAAAAATATAAAAAAGGTCAACAATGAAGCTGGACTCATTAGCAAACCATGCTAAAATTCACTTTTTTGCTGTTCAGGAGGACATTGAGTTGCCTAGCAACGTCCATGGCGTCTTAAAGAAATTGTCCCAGAAATGAAAACTAATTATATTTTCGGTATAAATTGTACGGAATCTAGCAAAAAAAGTAAAGTACTTACGTTTCATAACGTAGAACCGAAGAACCGTAGAACCGAAAAGTACAGCACAAGATTTAAGAAAATTGGTGTCCTCCCAGGAAGAGTTATAGAAACTATTATACATTGCCCCTCATTAAAAATACTGGTTTTCGACTCCGCCTTCCAGCCGGTGCCGGTGGTGTAGTGGTAAGCGTGACTGCTTTCTAGCACCCCAATGGGTCTGGGTTCAATCCCAGCCGTGGTCGGTGGGGTTTTTCTGAGGCATAAAAATCTCTGGTCACGTCTTCCTTCGGAAGGGAAGTAAAGCCGTTGGTCTCGGCCCATGTGTGTTGAATGGGTGCGATATCCTACGCAGGTGTGGAAGCTGCCTTCCTGCACATTCGATTGCCGTCAATGGATGGCAATCGATGCCCGTCGGTGATTGGCACTAGATTGCGGAACAGAGACCGACGTTTAATAAAGGAATGAAGGAAGGGAAGTAAAGCCGTTGGTCCCCGGTCTTTGAATTGATGGGTCGACAGGTAGGGTCCAGGTGTGAGAGCTGCCTCCCTGGTGGCGGTTGCATACCCAGTACGAAAAACAAGATCGACGGAAACAAATCAAGGAAAAAAAATTCATCGGTTCAGTGGTTATTGAGATGTCATCGAAACAAGAAGAAAATCGCCGGAGAATTTTGCGTACCGTCATGGAAAATCCGACTGTGGCCATGAGATGGATCGGAAGACAACTGGGAATCACCCATACAACTGTGTCTCGGGTGGTAAAATCGTTTAAGGAGTCCCAGACGACCGAGCGCACAGTGGCACGAATATGAATAAAGACGGTCAAAAATATTTTCTACCCTTTTTCGACGTTTTGGAGACTGGGTGTCTTGGGAGAAGTTGCTCAAAATTATAACTCGCATCTTTTGAAATACACACCTGAATAATCTTTAAGCTAGTATTACACATCCAAATTCTAACTTTTTCCAGTTACGAGATAATGGTTCCATGTCTTGGACAAAGTTGCAGAGCAGTTGATTTCATGAACATTTGCTAAAGACACCAAATGTCTACATCATAACTCTGTAGAGCTATAATATATTTTCTTTTAAGACTACCTTAAAATTGGTTTTTTAAGTTAATTAGTGCTTTTTTTCAAATTTGATCAACTTATCATGTTCTAAGAAATTGTTGGCATCATTAAAATATACAACTTTGCTGAATACACCAATGCTTTTCATTGACATCAATGTGATATACAGCCCATCAAGCGTTTTAGTGACGTCATATTCAACGGCTCGAAAAGAGGGTGGGCGGGCCCTGGCGGGGTCTAAAACTGGTTGTATTTTGAAGATTACCTTATAAAATAGTACTTCTGAAAATTTCAGCGTTGGGTACTGAGGGGTACCTAGCCAAATCTCGATTCGAAAATGTCAATATTATATACAGCCCATCGGACGGTTTTGTGACGCCTTATTGAACGGCCCGAAAAGATGGTAGGCGGCCCCTGGCAGGGTTTAAAACCGATTGAATTTCGAAGATTACATTATAAAATAGTACTCCTGAAAAGTTCAGTGCTGGGTTTCCAGGTGTATCTAGTCAAATCTCGAGTCGAAATAGTCAATGTTATATGTACCCCATCATGCGTTTTGGTGACGTCATATTCAATGGCTCGAAAATAGGGTAGGCGGGCCCTGATGTAGTCGAAAACTGATTGTATTTGGAAGATCACCTTATAAAATAGTACTCCTAAAAATTTTAGCGTTGGGTACCGAGAGGTACCTAGTCAAATCTCGTTTATATATATTTAGTACAAGTTATAAACCAATGTGTGCTACGAGTGTGCTACTTACTCATGATAAAATTTACAACTATATAAAAAATGCATTATCTTGAAATGTAATCAATGGGTTTGTTCATCAACTGCATATTCTGAACTTTGATATTTTGAGTATGCCAATATTGGAAAAAATATGTTTTAATTACTCCTTACCTGACTATCTTCGATAATATTTGACATGACGATTTCCATGAATCTGCTCCGCCCACACTTTAAACAATTCCATCCGACAAAGATTGAATGAATTCATTTTGAACCACAACTGTTCGTGAAAAAAATCACACCTAGATAATTAAATAAACTCTATCGCTCTTTGCTATCGCCAAAACGTCAAGCGCAAAATAGTCATCTGCAGCAGCGTTCAGCGATGTGCACGCGGAAGTTTCAAACATCTGTTGTGAAGTCACGTTCCATGTTCTGAAAAGAGGATGGGGTGGGTAGGTCCAAAGTTGGAACCCTTTAGAACCGTAGTCAGAATTTTATCATTTATTCTAGTTTTCTTGAAACTTATACCGATATTTTAGTCCATATTGTATATAATAAAGGGCAAAGAATATACCAATATTATTAGCTTGCATCATAATATTTGCAACTATCAACATATGAGTATCAATATTGCAATGAATGTACATATCAATGTAGGTACACTGAAGAACAAACACATTAAGAACAAACCCATTAAATACATCTCCAGATTAAGCTTAATAATTTAAATAATTTGCAAGTTCAAACATGTGTAGGTTAAAATCATTGATTCATAGCTCAATACCCAACGCTGAATTTTTCAGGAGCACTATTTTATAATGTAATCTTCGAAATTCAATCGGTTTTAAACCCTGCCAGGGGCCACCTACCATCTTTTCGGGCCGTTCAATAAGGCGTCACAAAACCGTCCGATGGGCTGTATATAATATTTACATTTTCGAATCGAGATTTGGCTAGGTACCCCTCAGTACCCAACGCTGAAATTTTCAGAAGTACTATTTTATAAGGTAATCTTCAAAATACAACCAGTTTTAGACCCCGCCAGGGCCCGCCCACCCTCTTTTCGAGCCGTTGAATATGACGTCATAAAAACGCTTGATGGGCTGTATATCACATTGATGTCAATGAAAAGCATTGGTGTATTCAGCAAAGTTGTATATTTTAATGATGCCAACAATTTCTTAGAACATGATAAGTTGATCAAATTTGAAAAAAAGCACTAATTAACTTAAAAAACCAATTTTAAGGTAGTCTTAAAAGAAAATATATTATAGCTCTACAGAGTTATGATGTAGAAATTTGGTGTCTTTAGCAAATGTTCATGAAATCAACTGCTCTGCAACTTTGTCCAAGACATGGAACCATTATCTCGTAACTGGAAAAAGTTAGAATTTGGATGTGTAATACTAGCTTAAAGATTATTCAGGTGTGTATTTCAAAAGATGCGAGTTATAATTTTGAGCAACTTCTCCCAAGACACCCAGTCTCCAAAACGGCGAAAAAGGGTAGAAAATATTTTTGACCGTCTTTATTCATATTCGTGCCACTGTGGAGCGGCGGGCTTGAAGTGGAAGAAAATCGAAGACAAGCTGACCCTGTGAAGGCCCGGAAGGTGTTGGATTATTTCAAGCGTAATCCGAACCTTTCGATTCGCGACGCGGCTCTGAAGGCAAAGTGTTCCGCCTGGTTCGTTCAGCAAACCATGAAACGAGCTGGGCTTCGTGTAGGAAGGCACCGAACCGGCGTGATCAACAAAACACGGCGGCCAAATCCCCCGCAAGGAAGCTGTATCGAGAGTGGTTAATGAAACCGATGTGTGTGGTTATGGATGACGAAACCTACATCAACGCAGACGCAAAGCAGATACCGGGGCTGGAGTTCTACGTTGCCAAATCACGGTTTG